CGTAAACCGGAACCGGGGTATCTTAACCTCTCTATTGTCAAATTCCTGACCCAGGGAAGCAGGTAGCTGTCAATTCCCATGGGTACGCCCAATCCCCCCCCCCCCGGCAAACCACTGACTGGTGCATTAGGGGCTGTTTGCATTAGCCTGGTTACCTGGAGAGGTGACTTTGCATGGGAAAATTTCAGCCTGGTTATCCGGGCATCCTGCTCGACTCAAGTGAGATTTTGGCTATGCCTGGGTTAGCAGGGCTCATGTAAACAGCCCCTTAATTGGTTATTAGGACTTGTTGGCAAAGAACACCCAAAAATGTAAATTTAGAATACTTTAATTTGATATTAGTTCCATAAATCCGTATTTTTTATCCATATTATTAATCCATATTTAATTTGATTTTAGTTCCATAAATCCATATATTTTAGTTCCATAAATTTGAGTTTAGATCCATAAATCTAAGAAGATCCACACCTGTCCCACATGTACAAATGCCATCCAATGTAATGGCCAAGATGATAACAGGAAGCACTTTTGTTTCTTCAAGGCCTTTGATCAAACAGAAAACACATTTGGTGGTCTTCATGTTTCAATAAATTGTTTTCTGGACTACATCATGAAAGATGTAATTTTCAAAAACTTTTCAATTGTCACAATGAGTTGACTGTTGGAAAAGATGTGATGAATTTCCATTGAAAGTTGTACAAAAATTGTTTTTGAGGTTGTGCATTTACTACGGCTTGAAATTTGTTAATCATGAACTTTCCAACACTAAAAAGAACAGAAAAAAATTAAAGGTAGCACACCTAACCCTAACATCCTTAAAATATATATTTTACACCAAAGTCATAGATATCTTATATACACTAGATAATGCATCTAATTCTTCTGCAATTCAAAAATTGAAGTCGTGATTGCAGTCTCAGGTCGTTCCCATGAAATGAAAAGATTCGTATGTTTTCTATTTCTTAAACAGGGAACTTAAACATTAAGTTAACCCTATTCCAAATACGTTTTTAAACTATTCAAATAATGAAAGTTATTGTTGTTTTTAAGCGTTTATTAGAAAGTGGGAACGACCAACATGGCCGCCATCTACTCAAATGGGGGTAGCCGCTGGAATATTCTTGGCTTCAATTTTACTAAAAGAGATGCGCTATCTAGTGTATATAAGATATCTATGACCAAAGTACATAAGAACTGAACTGTAAGATGCAAGACTGATGTTAAATCTAATGTTGATGCTAATCATAAACAGGTCAAACTACTACGATGTTGCTACACAGAGTAAATCTACACCAGGCAAGCTGAGAAATCAACTTGACCACAGTAAGAATGCAGCCCACTGACCTTGCTCCATCAATTAATTGCTTCATATAGATGTGAACAAATATCTTACTGTTTAATAATAAGCAATCAAAGTTATCAAAGTTACAAATTATAAACCAGTTCTTGTGAAAATGGATTCAACTCGCGTAGTTTACTGAGTTTAGTCCAAAACTTTTTTTTGTTAATTAAAGAAAAGAAGCCCAAAGGTATTTCCTTTCACTGATCAGGTATATAATGTGTTTAGCCGTGCGAATTATAATGATATTCACAGTATGAATATGTGCCTGAAATTTAAAAAATTCAACCTATTGCCTTCTAAAAACAAGACATGACGCATTTTTCTTCAAGCTTAGTCTAAGAATAGTTGCCATAATTTCAAGCTACACTCAGAAAAATATTAACATAATGCATGTATATGCCCAAAATAGCACATACAGTAGGCAGTAGCAATGCGTTTAAAATGACAATTTTACTATTATTAAGTAAGCTTTTATTATAATAAAATGAATAATCTACCTTTAATTTCTTTAGTACGTCCTGACAACTTCAATAAAATCCACCATAAAATAACGACGATATACTTATTTAAAGTTATGAAATACAAGTTTCGCCATATTAGTTTATAATGTTTTGGACCAGAGTTGTCGTATAGATATAAACGGCTTGTTCTCAAGTCTCAACGAAAGCTGAGCTAGTTTAATAGGGCCAAGTCCACACTCTATTAAAATGTTATGTTTATTGAGAGTAAGACTGTGCTTATCCATTTAATGGATGTATATAGCTATATATTCGTAATAAAATGTCGTTTGTGTATATCAGAAAAAATATGTTTTTATACTGTATATATTGCTGTTATTCCTTTTTGCTTGATTCATGCATGGAGGCTACTATCTGCCACAAAAAGGACAGCGCATGCATGACATGCATGTGTATTCCCCATTGGGCATTGGCATTGAGTCCCGAGGCAGAGGATTTTTTACATTCACCTGAGAATTTTTGTTCTTTACCACCTATACCCATTCTCCTAAAGTTTTCAATAAAAACGATGAACTACATTCAAAGATAAATCACAGACAGTTTTACTGTTTTGGATTTATTTAGAAGTCAAATGTTTCGCATTGGCTTACAAATTCGTGATATAGTTAATATTTTTGAAAATTATCAACCTTCAACAAAACAAGACGCGTACAATTTCAAATAAATCGGTTCAAAGCCTATCAACATTTGCAAACAACAATTAACAAATCTAATGGCATATTTGTTATACAGAAATATTAGAAATATAAAAACAGTAACAACTTAAAAGCACTTTCTGTATTATTATAGATGTGTCAACTGACCGATTTGATACGAAACATCTTGAAAGCATGAGGGATTGCGATTTTCTAGCTTTGTTGACTCGACTGCTGACAAAATTTTAAAATGTTTTAATTTGTAATTAAAAAGCAAACAGAAAAAAAAATTAGCAAGCATTTCGAACCATGTAGGCTATCGCAAAAATGACGAAATATAATTCAGATTACTCTGATCCACTCCTCAGTATTGGAGTGTAACGTTTTTGCGGAGGCATGCAATTTGATTCGCTGCCCTCCCCACTTATCCAATCTATTTTTGTAAAGTCACGTGACCAGCCCCAACCAGGGTCTTTTCCATAAGTAAGACCCTGGGTACGAAGTTGGTTTCTAGGTATACATTAGTGTATCACTGGACAAAATAAGAAAACATTTCATTTTTCATTATGTGCCACCTATTGCTCGGTGATAGTGGAGATTCCCTCTTAATTATGCCTTTGCCTAATTTGCTTATGTCAGCAATATGCATATTCGCAAATTAGGTAAAGGCATTAATTAAGCATGCGAAAGGCTGATTTTTTAGAAAAAAAACGAAGAGTTAAAGGGCTTAAACTGAAGAAAATTTTCTGAAATTTTGTATAGTAATTAAAAACCCAACAAATTTTCCACCCATTAACTCAAAATACGATTAAAGCTTCTAAATTTCGTGCGCAGGCCATTTTTAGTTTGTTGGAAAAGAAACACCCCCTGGTTTACACATTTTGAGTTCGAGTATTTTATTTCATTATTCTACATTATCGGTACTAAAGGAATCTATATATAACTAACCTGAGTATCATGCAGGCCCTTGGTATTGAAGAGAGCCTGACACAATTCGCCTCTACGGGCTTTCCACCCCCAGAATATCAGCCAATTAAAATTATTTCCGGTTGTATCATATTTCCGGTTGTCCGCTACAGGTATGTACATACGCAAATTTCGAATTTGCAGTTTTGTATAAATTTGAATAAATAAGGAGAAAAATCGGTATGTTTTTGTCGAAATATCCACATGATGGAATTCTAAGCGTAAACTATGCCTCATTCGGGGAACCATGGCTAGATGGCTTTTTCCAGGAGTCTAAAGAGACAACATTCAGCGCTCTGAATAGGATTTCTTCTTCCTCGGTCCTCGTGTCATGTTGATAGTTTATTCATGTTGATAATTTATGTTAGTTCGAGCGAGCTGACTACAATATCCTTGCAGGTCTTGGAAAACAGCTCGGCAATAAACTGATAAATAATGCTTCAGCTTTTTGGAATTAAATATTTGAAAATTTCCGACATCCACATATTTTCGTTCTACGGCGACTATTACGGCGAGATATGTAGACACGCTTTCTACTATGACTATGTAGTTTTAGTTTTATACCGAGTAAAATGTTGCTGCAAAAGCGTTTTCAACGTCTTTTCGTACTTATTTTGTCATTTTTAGGCTTAATTAATTGAAAATAAATTTCAGAAATAAAGCACTTTTAACAGTATATTGACAAAATTACAAATTCTATTTTTGGTGTTTACATATGCCGGTCATATATTTTCGGTTTGAATCACATGATGCGTTTTATCGTCTCTTAGCCAATCAGCATAACATCCAGATTCTGGATGTTGAACATGGCTTTAGAGGCGAATTGTGTCAGGCCCTCTTTCAATACCGAGGGCCTGATACTCAGGTTAATATATAACAAAAACTTGATACCACCAGCTGATTTGCGAAATTGAGATCAACTTCAAATCTGTCGTATTTATTTATACACCCTGTGTAACCAATTCGTTCATCGTACAACACAGCTAAAAAGTTCATTTTTTTTCTACAGGTGCGAAAAGGGAATCCAATTGCCTTGAACAACAGTACCGACGCCATCTGTTGAGGTATGGTATATACTGTCTTTGCGTGCTTTTCCTCCACGAGGACAAGGTGATAGACAAAGCCCCTTCTGAAAGCCCGGAAATGTGGCACATCAGTAACATTAAATTGGGGGTATATAGAGAATGATTCAGGTCTGGTTTGCTGGGCATGTACATAGTGTTCTTCTAATCACTTGAAGCCGAATTACAATACGCATTAGATATTGCCACCGAGGCTGTGCAGGCCATTTTGGAACGACAACCAACCCTGTGCTCTCATCTTCTCGAATTTTCTGTAATACTAAATGGATTATGCTAAATGGAGGAAAGGCCTAAAATAACTATAGTTTCCAAAAAATTGTAAATGTATTAACAGCTTCAGGATCAAGTTGACACGCAATAAAGGGTTTAACTTTATAATTAAGTCAAGAAGCATTGATAATTAAGTCGAGAAGCAAATAGATCAATAACTGGAGTCATGTTCAACAGTCGGATACCATGTTGAGTACCATTACTGCGCACACGAAATCTCGAGGTACACTGATACAGTGAACCTCCCGTAACTGCTGTTGCATTGCACGATATCCAAGAAGTTGTCCATGGCCTTCTAATCCTCTCCTTACTGCTTCATCTACAGTAGCAAGATCTACCTCCTAATAAGTAAATTTTTAATATCACTATATTGTGGGACAAAGACCGCTCTCTGCAGGCGTACATGGGATACTTTGTCTGAATGAAGACCAATATCTCATTTTTCTGCCAGTTTCGCTTTACATTCTCGGTTAAATCATGTTTGAGCTCAATGTCACCCAACTTGCGCCTAAATACCTTAATGGTACCTTCCATGCACTTTATTGTTAAAGTTGAATTTTTATTAAATAAACTGATCTCAACCCTTCCCTAACCCCTGGCTCCTCCTCAGGCCCTCGTCGTGTTATGGGAAGGTCACGATTTCGAGAGGTCCTGCAGAATCTTGTAAAATGAATAAATGTTGTTCTAAACCTGCTTCGTTAAAGAAGGCAGTTTTATTTGTGCAACGTTGGTGTGGACAACAAACCTTATCGTTAAAAAATGCTTCCTTCCAAGTCCTTAGAGTCGCCATTTTACTTTACAAGTTTCACGCTGCTTTTTTATAGCCCTTTTATATTCAAGATTATGTACAAATTTTCTTGCTGACGTGACGCCGACGCCATTTTTTTACAAGATTCCGCAGGCCCTCGCCAGATTGTGTGCGATCTTCCCATGACGCAACGAGAGCCTGCGGAGAAGGCAGCCATAACCCTCTAACCCAAACCAGAAAAGATCTAATAAACAATTTGAGAATTGAAAGAAAGTCGGAAAATTTTTTAAAAAATTTTAAAAATTTCTTAGTCAAACAAAAAACAGTCGGTCCTACTTTCGAAAACAAATCAATACGGACCTCGTTTAATTAACTTCGCACACACACACACACACACACACACACACACACACACACACACACACACACACACACACACACACACACACACACACACACACACATCTTTACTGATTACGTTGTCGACAGGTTTGTTTTATAGTAATATATGTTTTTTACGGCAATATATAATAAAATAGAAGGTGCCATTCCGGTATTTAGGCGCTCGTTGCCAAACATCCACTCGCCTTTTCTGATACGGTCGGCAGCCATATTTACTCTCTTTGTAGCCTGAATTGCATTATGGTCTATGGCACTCATAGGACGTGGAAATAGTTTTTTTTAAATTAATATAAAAATTATATGGCTGATAGGCCACGGAATTTTTTTTTAATTAATGTAAAAATTATATGCTACTGATACGCCATGTAACTACTTTTATTTTATTTTAATTAAAAAATAGTAACAAAATTGAATTAAAGCAAAAATTAACACATAAATAAATAAAATATATACAAAAATATATACAACAATTTAAAATAAAGAAGAAAAACTGAAAAAGGTAAAGGAAAATGCTTATCGCTCTCCTAGGGCACCATACACCGGCCCTTATTTCAAATTAAACGTGGGCGGGCGGTCCATTTACAAAAGTTTTATTAAAGTTTAACAGGAGTGGTCATAACGAAGCCAAACTGTAAAGCGAGACTCAATTAACCTTCCAGTGATATTCTCACTGTTACTGAGAACACACATAAATCCTGAATAAATCATGGATTCAATCCGCCGTTTGCAAAACGCGAACTGAGTCCATGTTTTAAAATCACGGACTAAGTCCGTGTTTCACAAATCACTGACTCAGTCCGCGTTTTCCTGGTACAGTCCTGTCCGTGTTTTACAACGCGCCTTCGTTTTTGCGGAAACGCGAGAAATCCGTTGGGTGTTATAAGGATCTTTCTTCGGGCAATCGGAAGGCACCATTCACGCCACGGACCGGAATAAAGTACTACAGCTGTACCACATTTTCAATAAAAATTGTTAATTAATATCTTATTTTACATCCCATTAACTTTCCAATAGTAATAAAAAGTACCGACTCACCAGGATGTTTGAGCCAGTGCAAAGAAGTGCACTTTACCAGTAAGGAAGACAAAATTTGGAGCAGTGCATTCATGTGTGAGACAACACTAAGATAGAATCATAGAAAACGTTATTTCAAAGGGTGTCACTAAACAACAAGTGTTGATTAGTTCATAGCACAAAAATAAATTAAATATTACATTACATTACACTAATCAATTAGAGTGCATGAGCATGATTAGGCAAACGGAAAGAGGACGCGGCATATACCTTTATTACTGTATATCTGCCATACGCTCAGCTTAGTTTTACTCTTTTAAAAAATCTATCGTCGGATTTAATCAGGTAAATCGTAAAAATTCTTCATGGGAAACACAGAATAAAATAACACATTTCCTATTTTTCGGAAAATATATTTAGACTTTTATTTCTTTATATTAAAAATATTTTTCAAAAATGTTAAAGATATTTTTCAAATATTTTAGCCAAATATGTTCGATGTACCATGGGAAAGCGGAGAGAAACGAAACTACATTTGTATGCAGAATATTATCATTGATGTTGTCAGTGAAGGATTGAGGATCGTTTTTAAAAACGAATGGAATAAGCGCTATCAGACAAGGTTCGGAGCATGGGATGACACCAGTGTAAGTGGCCTGCAGTTGTTTCGTCTGGAAAATACACGGTCAAGACCAAACAAGAACATGTACCAGTCGAAATTTCAACAAGGAAATACAAATCAATGGGATTGCTCTGTGCTTTTTGACGCAATTCTGTACTCCAACTCGATTGGTAAATCAAGTCTTAATCCAACAATTAAGACTGAAGTGGATAATATTCGAAATATGCGAAATAAAATTATGCATGCTGACGACACAACCCTATCTGATGCTGACTTCCAAACCATGATCAGTGATGTCGAAAAGGCATTTAAATCCCTCAGTCTTCCAGTTAGTGAAATAACGCAAATGAAAATTAAGAGAAACCTTTACAAATCATTTCATGTTTTACCTCCAAAGCCAACCCACGAAGTTGTTCACCGTTCTGAGAAGGTTAAGGAAGTAAAACAAGAACTCGAGAGGTTGCGCATTGATAGCGACGGCAAACTCACATATTTTTACATTTCCGGAAGTCCTGGAAGTGGAAAATCGCAGCTATCCCGGCAACTTGGCGAGGATTTGCTTAAAAGCGCAAGTTGGGAAGCAGAAGCAACATTTGTAATGACATTGAAAGCAAAAGATTTAGACGCTCTTTATCACTCGTATGAAGATTTTTGCCGACGTCTAAATTGTTCTGAGAGTACATCGTTAACTGTAATGAATTCATGCAATCCTAAAGTTGAAAAGATCAAAGATTTAAGATCACTGATTGAAAGCAGAATCAAGAATTGGAAAAGGTGGTGGATTATAGTAGATAATGTGGAAATTCTCGA